CCATCTAAATGAATTTCCCTTTAGCAAAAAGAAACGCTAAATAATATTCTTCAGCTCTCTTAAATAATTACCATTAAGGCCTCTACATTTGAGGGAATCACTAAAAATTTGAGTTGTCCAGATTGAAAGATGACATACCTTTCTCATCTCTTTGCAGTTTGGTTTAGACTTGGAATTGAACAGACCTCGTGTGGAATCCCAAATAGGTGAGCCCTGGTTTTCTACATTGAAAAGTAAGTAACACTTTACCTGATTTTTGTGAATTTAATTTTTTTTTAAAAAAGCCTTATTCTGTTGTAGGCACAGAGGAAATGCTCAGGAATGACACAAACCCCTCTTCCCCCACCTCCCGCCATCTCACCCTGTTTAGGCAAGAATGATTGTTTAGCCTAGGGTGAGGGGGGTGGTAGCTGAGAACTAAAGCCAGTGCCCCAGGAAGGGCTACCCTCCAAAGAACACAGTCTCTCAACTCACATGATAGTCCAAGTGGGGGAAAAAATGCCACTCTGCAATGGCACACCTGTGTCCAGATCCTAGTTTGGCTACTTTTTACTTGTCTGACCTTCAGTAAGCCATTTGATTTCTTTGAACCTGACTGTTGTCTGTAAAATGGAGATAATCATATTTGCTGCTCAAGGATGCCATGATGAACAAACTCAATTAGGCACATTTGCTGGTTTCGCAACTCAAAGGATTATATAAATAGTTGGAGAATTGAGAAAAATTAGCATAGTACCCCAAATCTAGAAACAAGAGAACATTGTCCTGATTTAAACAAAAGGAGAAGAGAAGGCAAGATGTGGCAAATAATGTCCCAGTGAGTTTGATATTGATGCTGCATACAATTCTAGAACATTTCCTTTAAGAGCATGGGAGCACTTGGGAGAGATGACAGGTAGCACAGATTCCTGGAGAGCAAGTCATATGGGACTGGACTTCTCCGACCATCCCCTTAGAGAAGTGGGGAGATCTGGAGTGGAAGTCCTAGGGAGCCAAAGAGGAGGACCCCCCCCCCAGAAAGTAGAGAGAAAAGAGGCTGCAGAGAGATAGGAAGCAGGAGGGGACCCCAGGGACACACAGGGGGAGGGGCCTTATGAGTCGAGGGGGCAGGGCTAAGAGAGCAGAGGGGAGGAACCTCAACAACTAGGTACTGCCAGCTACCCAGAGAAAGAGCTTTATTCCTTAAAGACTTCTAACCCCCTACCACCCGCGCCCCCAGCAAAGAAATGTTTGTGGTAAGATCCTTTCTCCCTACTTTGGTTCACTTTTGATGCTCAGGAAAAAAAAAAACAAAACACAATTTTTCCCCATAAGCTACTTTTTGTCACTGTGACCCTCTAAAGATTATAAACCCTTCTGCTTCCCTTAAGCACTGAGCCCCATTCCCTCATCCAGAAAGAGGGGATGATTGTACCTACATCAGGGGTTGTTATGAAGGCTAAGGAGGCCGAGCACTGTAGCTGACACGGAGATGTTAATTCCCTTCCCCAGCCTCTCCTGACTGAGGGATGAAGATGGCAGGTGAGGCTTGGTCCCTGCCCTTGGGGCTTTCTGCTTTGACATCTGTATCAGTGATTTGGATGAAGACACACACACTAGGAAGCTGAGAGAATTAAGAAATGACTGGCAGTCCAATAAAAAAAATTATTGGGAGGAGATGGAGAAAATGTGAAGTCTCAGTGAGAGAGGAAAGACTCAGTGAGAGAGGAAAGAAACCCATCGCCCTTTTGGAATGGGAGCTCTAAACATGTTGACAGAGCTGCCACTTAAGTGTTCTCAGGCATGCCACACAGTTTCAGGGAGATGGCTATGCTCAACTGGGCCTGGGCTCTGGGCAGGGAGGAATCAGGAGTCACATGTTCATTCAATAAATATTTGTTATTTCCTACTCTATGCTGGGCACAGCTCTAGGCACTTGGGCAAATCAGTGAATAAAACAAAGATCCCTGCCCTCAAAAAAATTTACATTCTAGGGAGAGGAGACACAATATACATAATAAATGAAATCAAGTACTTAGTATGTTAGGAAGTGATAAATGCTCTACAAGAAAAAGGAAAAATTAGAGCTAGTTAGGGGGGATCAGAAGGACCATGGTACCCGGGGAACGGGTCCAAGGGACAGTAGAGTGAAGGTCTCAGGTGGAACAGAGCCTGGCAATGTTAGGGACAACGCTGAGACTAGGGTGGCAGGAGAGGAAGGAGAGGGCAGGAGGAGACAGGTGGGAGAGGAGATGCAGGCCAGGCAGGAAGGATCTGCAGGCCTGAAAGGGCTCTGGCTTTCAATGCAAGATGCGGAGCCATCGCAAGGTTCTGCACAGAGGGGTGAGGTGATGGGGCTTCGGTTTTAAAAGCAGTCTACCAGCGGAGAATCAGCCACTAGCAGAAGGCTGCAGTGTGGAGGCAAGATGCCTTGCTGGTCAGACCAGGCACAGGTCGGAAAGGGGGGGGATCCTTTGAAGGAGGAACCAGCCTGACTTCCTGGTGGCTGGGCTGCAGGCTAAGGAGGAGAGAAGGGAGGATTCCAAGGGTTCCATCAGCAGCTGAGGGGTGTGGGGAGGAAGAACAGGATCACAGAGGGCTATTAGACATCCAAGTAGAGATGCCAAGAAGGTGGCTGGAGAGCTGAGCCTGGGGCCCCGGAAAAAGGTCTGCCTGGGACCTCCAAACACTTTAAGCACCATCAAGGGTGAAGAGGAGTGAGAACCCTCCACTGCGGCTCCCCTGGGAACAAAAAGGACAGATGTCAGAACGGAAGTCAGAGAAAGGGCCTGATTCAATCCAAGCAGCACTGAATCAGAGCCTCAGCAAAGGTGTCTTATGTTTATAGATAACAGCTTCCTGAGATCAGGGACAAGGGTCAGAAAATGGACTGACTTATTCTGTAGGACACTGTGTCTTGGCCAACAAAGACATCATCATAAACTTCCCTTGGGCCAGGCAGTCTTCTGAAGGAAGGTTCCAGCCTCCCAAGGAAGGATAAGGCAGTGTACTTCTGGAAATACCTGTGGCCATCTGTTCTCCCAGAGTCCAGCCACCAGGACCTGGACTGCACAACAGACAGACCCTAATCTCTCAACCTCTCACTAGGCTGTAGTCACTACCAGGGAGCAGGGGAGCACAAAGCAGCCTCTTTTCTCTCTCCCAATGCCATAAACTAATTAAAGCCTGCACACACCCCCACACCTACACCACACTTAGACCACTACTAGACAATCTCCAGAGCTGGGCAGCAAGTCCTTTGAGAGGAGGTCTGGACAGCACCCTCTCGGTTCACCACACTGCCTCAGGCTAATGCTATCAAAATCCAATAATCCAAGAGTTCTAGCAACCCTGCAGGTGAATAGATGAGCCCACTGGCCCACTGTGAATGTGTTCGTACATCACACTTCTCATTTTGGGCATCACATTGCAGACATGTTAGCAAGAGATCCATGATCTCATCTTTCCGGTCCCTAAAACAAAGCTTCCTGGTCTAAGATCTGAAAAAAGGTAGGCCAAAACACTGATCCATTTAGTTCTTGAAGCAAACAGGAAGATTCTGGACAGTCTGCCTCCAATAGGAGCAGCAGCCTCTTCAACTTATCTCACTGTGCAAAAAATATATATATATATATTTTTTAAACTTTGGAACACCGTGCTCTAGAGCCATCTATTCTTGCCTTTCACTCAGTTAATGATCATTTATTCACTGGACATGTATTAAGCGTCAGGCACCAAGCTAACCATTGGAGACAGAGTGAGGAACAGTCACTCTGTCATAAAGTCACTGTCACTGAGACACTTATTATCTAGTGGAAAAGGAAGATTGGACAAGTAAACAGAAACCAGAAACAGTGTAAATGCTACAGGAGAGACTAAGAGAGTGGGAGGAAAGAGGAGGAATGGCAAGAGATAAGTCAGAGAGCCTGGCAGGTGCCAGACCTTACAGGGCCATTGGGGGATTCCAAGTACAAGGGAAGCCATTGGGGGATTCCAAGTACAAGGGAAAGTCACTGGGGGATTTATAAGGACTGGATATCATGGATCTGGTTTCTATTTTCCCACAAGTACTCTTCACGGAGAATGACAGGGGGCTGGGCAGCCATGGTCCCAGGAAGGCCAGTTTAAAAAGAGCTGCAGTAATTCTGCCTGGAGAGGACATGGCTCACTGTGGGCAGACTCAGTGGTGACATAGAAGAGTAGAAGGATTCAAATATATTTTTAAACAAGAATCAATCCTTCTGACCCTCAAAAAGTTCACACTCTATTGGAAAGAGTTCACACACATCTTACGGATGTGTAAGCAAATCATGTCATCTAGCAAAATTGTTACTTTAATGGAAATACAGAAGCTATGCAGGGAGCTTAGGATGGAGCTCAGAAGACTTCTGGGAGGGAGTCAAGGTGCTCACAGCTGCATCCAAGCTGGGAAGTAAAAAGAAGTGTTTGCCGAGTGAACAAACAGTGGGTGGTGCTTCTAGTCAAGGAGGGGGGCCGTCTAGCGGCAGACTCCCAGCTGTGAGGCCCCAGTTGCCATGACTGGACCACCTCACCCATGCCTCTCCTATCGCTCTTGACACTTTGCATATGGAAACCTGTTTACAGGACTATTTTTCTCACCAGATTTCAAGCTCCTGCAAGACATCCTGTCTTGCTGCAATAAATATTTCGTGACAGATAACTAAAAGTCCTCTCTGGTGACTGTACCACTAGACACTGCAACATTGCTTCACTTCATACTGTGCAATCATTGCAAAGGTGTCGCCTTTAGTTGTGGTCTTCCCTACGAGCTCCTTGAGGGTAAAACCTTCATTCCCCCTTGTTTGTACCTTTTCATGTGCACTGATCTGCACACTTTCCAAAGACTGTGGAATAAAATGAGTGAACAAAAATGTATTTAAATCAACATGCAGTAGGCAATTACTGACTAATGGGATTTTATTCCTTTCTTGGTTACTAGGATGGTAAAGCAACTGCCCACTGCTTGCTGAGGGGTCTCATTGGCTCAATGCTGCCCCAGCATGTCTGCTGAAAACAATCCATCATCAAGAGAAACATCCCCTCCCTATGAATCTTCAACATCCCAATATTCCACACAGACCTTATCTTCAGAGGAAGAAGATAAAGAGGAAGACCAGAATTCAGAGAGAAAATCTCTCTCTCCTGAAGACAATGAGTACCTGGAAGACGGTGAGTATCTGGAAGAGGAAATCCTTCTAGAGGAAGACGAGTACCTGGAAGAGGAAAAGTTTCTGGAAGGGAACACATATCTGTATGAATCAGAGTATCTGAAGGAGAGAAAGCATCTACAAGAGAAAAAGCTTCTGGAAGAAAAAGAGTTTCTGCTTGAAAAGTATCTAGAAGATGGTGAGTATCTAGACGAGGGGGAAGTATCTGAAAGGAAGAGTATGTATATGAAGAAGAGTATCAGGGAGGGGACATTCAGAAGAGGGCCTCCTAAAAGATAGCAACTCTGGTTCACCACACACCCAGGATAAAAGATCAGACTTGGGAGAGAGCACAGATCAGTCTGTCAACCCCACCCACGGTGCTGACAGGCAGGAACACTCATTATTGACCCAGGTCTCTTCCCAGCCTCGATGGCCGTGCCCCCAAGCATGGTGCCATCAGAGCAGACAGGCTTGATGAACAGAAGATAAGGCCCCTATTCATAAACAAAATATATCCTATATTGTGTGTTTTTTTTCTTATTGCACAAGTAATTCATATTTATTGTGGATGTCTGAGAAACTATATATAAGAAAAATTAAGAAAGCAAAAAATCACTACCATACGTAGGGGAATAATCACTTTCACACTTTGGTTTATCTTCCCCAGACTTTATAAAATGTGTGTTACAGGGCACCTGTGTGGCTCAGTAGGTTAAGCGTCTGCCTTCAACTCAGGTCATGATCCCAGTGTCCTCAGATGGAGCCTCACATCTGGCTCCTTGCTCAGCAGGGAGTCTGCTTATCCCTCTCCCTTGGCTGCTCCCTGCCCCCATGCTCTCTCTCTCAAATAAACAAAATCTTTAAAAAAATTTTTTTTAATAAAAAAGTGTCACCTAATTTTTAAGGAATATTATGCTTTATATATATATATATATAAAATTACAAATAAATATACTGTAAAAAGCAAGTAACAGATAATACTTATATTAAATATTTACATGAATATATGTAAGTATTCATACTTATATGAATACATTTCACATTAGTATATTTTCTGCAAATCATTTTCATAGCTACATCACACTGAATTATATTTTCAAGCCGTGGTATTTTTAATTGATTCCTGATTATTATCAATTGCTCATTGCTTCTGATTTTTTTGTTACTTTTTCAAACAGCACTTTGATAAACATCCTTAGAGCTAGATTTTATCAATGACTTCTAATTATTTCCTAGAATACATTCCAAAATCTATTGCTAGGTCAACAGACACTAGTATGCTTCTTGGAACACCCACTCGGCCCCAGGAAGGCATTGTATATGAGTATTTAACTTCGGAGTGATTTCTCTCACCCTAGGGTTGACATTTTCCCAATACTGTTTCTGTGACTGGCACCTTTTCCTTCAGTTGGGTTTTATTATTTGGTAGTGGCCCCCTTGTGCTATTGTTAAAGGTGGCTGACTCCCACTTTCTCCTAGCCCCCGTGCTGCTTTCTCTTGCTGTCATGACTACATGGCCATATCCAACCGGGGTTCAGGAAGTTACAAACCCAAGTCATCTCCATCATCTTCATATTGACCTAGAAACAGGACTACATTATTTTCCTGGATCTGATTCTGTTACCAACTGCGAGCAACTCAGGCAGCTTGAATTTTTAAATCCCAGTCTGATCACACAGCCTGCATCTGGGTATTCTTAACAGCCACACAGGCATTTTTGCCTTTACCTCCCTCCTCAAATCAGATGCACCATCCTAGATTCCTACTACCCTCATGTAAGTTTTCTCAGGGTACTGTAGAAGTAATTCCTCTATTGCTGGGAAACTCTCTTTCATGTGTGCCTCTGCTGTGAAACTCCCACTCAGAATCCTAATATTCCTGCTGTTCAAATACCAAGTGTTAATTCTAATTCTGAAAAATAGCATTTGGGCCATTTCTCTTGCACAGTATGAATCAAGCATTCTTAACATGTCCCCTGTATGCACTGGACCTTTGTAAATATATTACCCACTACAGTAGGATAAATACAATGCTGTCAAATGAATGGAACTGTGTATAAAGCAAAAAGCTTCGAAAATAAATGCCCTGCTAGCAAAATTTGGAGAGGCACTGAAAAGACTGTAGAGGAATGTTAAAATGCCTTCAAAGACACATGGAAGAATGTCTTGGTCTATGAAACCCAAGGTACCAAGCCAGACTGCCCAAAACAGACTAAATTAAGAAGAGGTCTACCACAGGATTTGGAACTTTTCAAAAGAATTTACATTAAGATTTCTTAATGTGGAATATTTTGCCAATACCTTTAAGAGAAAATTTGTTTAGCCTTGCACAGGAGTGCCTTCCTGACCCATAGCAAATGCTCAGTACATGCAAATTGCATCAAGTTCAATTTCATTTATTTCATACAGTCAGGTACATATGCACGCGTGGGTGTGCACACGCACACATTCGTGCACACACCTGCATTTATTTTTAGAAACACCTTTTATAAATTCATTGGCACCTATAAAATGAGCCCTAGAAATGACAAATGGTCTTCTCTCAGGTTGATGGATTAATTGCTAGAGACTAGTGGTGGAGCCCTATGTGGAGAAAGATTCTGAGCGCCAACTTGGGCTCAGCAGGAAAGAGCACCACGAGGGACTAGTATTGTGGGCCACAGCATCAGATGGGGATGGAGGAGTAGGAGTGCCATTTATTTGTCTGTTTGGTGGTAGATGTGAGTCTGTCGCAAAGAACACTGTTTCCTTCCTCTCTCTGGAGCTTAACTGTCTTGAGTCCGAATGTCAATTCTCTCCCACTTATTAGGGAAGGAACTTGGCAAGTCACTTAACTCCTCTGCATGCTGGTTTCCTTAACTATAAATTAGAAACAACAGACATATCTTATAGGATATTTGTGAAGATTAAAAGAATTAAATTATACTAAAGCATTATAAACTATGACTATGACAGGCACACAGCATTCGAAGACTTTCCAGTGTTAGTTATTACTGTTGTTATATTGTATTTTATGATTCCCCTACCATTGACTTGTGAAAGGTAGTTTACACTTCCCATCACTACATACCCCACCCAAGTTGTGGATTGGACGTAACAAAAAAAAAGATGCAATGAACTGGGGTATAGGAGGGACCTGTGCCCCCAACCTAACTACTCAGCAGGCAGCTCAATTTCAGAGACTCCTACTGCATGGGACACATCAGGGTAGGGTCACGCTAGCAACCTATAACCCCCTTTCTCTTCTTTAAAGAAATCATTTTCCAAAGAAAAATTATTTTCCCCATGATTTGTAGAGAAATCCAATAAAATTAGATGAGAAACCTGAATATAAATGCAGCATCAATCACCACTGAATAATCAATAGCTCCATTTGAGCAATCTCCCCGAAAGATTCCAGGTAAGTTTTGTAAAATGTGGGTGTCCACACTGAGGTGTCAAGAGTCAGAAGATCCAGCACATGGCAGGGCCTTTGACCTTGAGCATGTCATTTACTTTCTCTCAGTTTCAGTTTCCCCATGTACAAAAATACTTTTCTTCACAGTGTGGTTGCAATATTTACATGCAAAAACATACTGAAAATGTTCTGAAAACTCTCCTATACCATATGGTGTAAGATGCAAAAATGCTCTTCTGATCTCACATGGGGAGGAGGTGCTAGAAGGAAGTACCATCTATGTTACTATCATGCTGTCACAGAACATGAAACCACCCCATATTGAGGCCCCTTTTGGGTTTTTGGGTTTTGTTTTGTTTTGTTTTGTTTTTAAACTCAAGACCTTCTAAAAGATGAATTCTGTTCTGTGGCAAATAATGTCATAGAGATATCACAGGATATTAATTTTGATTTATAATGTTTTTTGCTCAATAGTATTTTGATATGCTGGATTTGATTTTCTTTACCCTTGCAACCTCCTCTTCCACAGCTCTGAATGCTGTTTGGCCTAAATGCTATTATAACTCCTTTGCCATTTCCAATTGAGAGTTGCTGCTGCAATAACTCTTTCCAACAGGGCATCTAGCAGTTTTCTACATATCTAAGAAGAAACGTTTGCAATATATTGATAAGGCATGGATGGGAGAGAACCAGCCAGTTTGTCAGGCAGGAAACTTCACAGATGATGACAGAACTCCACAACTAGTGTGCCCTGAGTACAACTGGTGGGGGAGATGCTGAGCCCCGGGGCCAGTCGCTCACAGCCTCCACTCCACTCCTGAACAAACTTCATCATCTTCTGTGTCTTGCCCAGAAGGTCAGGAGCACAGTCCAAGGCATAGGGCATGTATTGTACATTTCACAATCTTTGTCTTCTTTTTTTTAAAAAAATATTTTATTTATTTATTCATATGAGAGACAGAGGCAGAGACACAGGCAGAGGGAGAAGCAGGCTCCCTGTGGGGAGCCCGATGTGGGACTCAATCCCAGGACCCTGGGATCATGACCTGAGCCTAAGGCAGATGCTCAACCACTGAGCCGCCCAGGTGCCCCTGATCTTTGTGTCTCCTTAAATTCACCCAGCCATTATTTATCCCCATGACACAGGTGAAGAATCTGGAGTCAGAGAGAGGATATATGACTATGCCAAGGTCACAGAAAATCACGAGAGGAGCCAGGACAGTCTCCCCAGGCTTCCCTTCTCCCTCTTGTAATCGCCTCTTTCTTTTCTTCTTTCCTTTCTCCTGTCCTTCTTTGTTCAGGCTTTTTAATAAATAGTGTGCATATTTTAATTTTAGGAGAATGACATAAAAAGAAATAAAATTTACTTTTGCTCATTTTAATGGTTAATTTGAAAAGCAGAAGATATAAAAACATTACCCCATTGACCAACATCCAAATATAAATAAAGCTGATTCAGTCTTTAGTGATTTTTATTGTCCTTCCTGCTTTTATTTTTTCCATGTTTGATTGGTGGTGGTGGTCCTTGTTTTGTAGCTTTGTTTTTATAGTTTTAAACATGTTGTATGTATTTTACTTCTGTAACAGAAATTGCGACTTCAATATTTGCCCCGTATTGCTTAACTTTTGTAGACATCATTTTAACAGCAAAGTAATATTCCTCAATATATTCTGTCTCATGGATAAACTGTGTATAAGTGTTGAACATTTAAGTTTCAAATTTCAATTTCTGGTTCTCATGTCTTTACTACTTCCACTGTGCCAGTCTCTATTATTAGAACTAATGGCCTACTTTATCCCAATTGTACACGAAATTCCTATCATTCAAGGTAAATGGGT